AGGAGAAAAAAACAACTATGAAGCTAAAATATGATTATTTATTTATTATTTAATTTAATTTTTAATCATAGTATTTTCTATTCAATTGAATGCCACATAATCCAAATTTTTTATTTTTTTATTCTTATTTTATCATGACATTTTCTACTACTTATAATACAACATCAAACATTTTCAATTGGTCTTTGTCTTTTCCTATCATTTTTTTAATTGTAAATAAATTTTAATAGAATTTAATTGTAAATTTGCTCCAAATTAAAAATATAATAGTAAAATTACACAAGTTGAAAAGTAGTGATAATTTAACTTTAAACCACTCTTACAAGTAAAATAATAAATTCGTACCTTATCATTTTTCTTTTATCGATCATGACATTTCTTTATTAAATAAAATTTCACATAATCCAACATTTTTTTCTTTTTATTTTTTCTTCTTTCATCATAGCATTTTTGGCTAAATATAATACCACAACATACTTTTCAATTGATCTTAATCTTTTTTTTTTTCTCATTTTCAATATTTTTTTAATTATAAAACAGTTTCTAACAAAATATTTTACAAAATATTTCTCAACTTTTATATCTTGACCAAATTTTCTCTAAAATTGAAAATATTATGATAAATTTGCCTTAAAATTAAAAGTTTAGTGGTACAATTATACCAGTTGAAATATTAGTGGTAAATTTGGAACCCTCTCGTAAGTAGAATGATAAATTTATGCCTTATTCATTTTTTTTTCCAAACTTTTATTTTATTATGGATTAAATCCCTCTTTTGCATTATGCCACAATTTGCATGGGGTAATTAGAAAAAAAAACTATTTATAAGAGAAATAATTTTAAATTAATTAATATTATAAACAATAAATATATTTCTATTAAAATAATGATAGTGCTAAAAAAATCAAAATAATTACTTTAAAATATTGTTTTTAAATTTAAAATAATAAAATTTAATGTACTTAATCAAACTAATTCATGTATCTAACTAGAAATTAAATGAAAAAAAAATAAAAGGGGGTAGATTAAGAAATATTTAAATTGTTACTGGATTTGGTTCAATTATATATATATATATATATAAAAGAAGTCATATTTCGGAGATAAAAAAAATGTTATAAATATTAAAATTTGAATCTAAACTCATTAAATATTATTTTTAAAATATAATTGTATGAATTAAATAAATTAAATTAAATTTTTTTTTTTTTTTTACATTCTTCGCTATTCCACTAATTTTCATCTTTCTATCTTTCTAAAAAAACCTCTCATTTCCCTCGTTTTTCTTTCTCCACCGTTATTTTTGCTATTAATCACAAATGAAAATCCCATCGCTTTATTCTTGTCTTTTTCCTTCAATTTTCAACCATTTAATTTATCCTAAAAATTTTCTTTCCCTATAAAACCCTACACTGGAGGTCCACAACCACATTTTTATCTCATGTTCTTCACTTTTTATACTAATTTTTAAATGAAACATTGAGAGTTTTTATTGGATTTTTCTCTCTTTTTTTTTTTTTTTATTGATCATTGTGTGTTGGTTTGTGCAAATCTACTTGTATTTTGTTGGTATTTTCTTCTTTTTATTTCTTCTAAGGCATAATTTTTTCAAAAAATTTCTTTATTTTTTATGGTTGAAATTGTAAAAAGAATTTCAGTTCTATTTTTTTAATTTTAAAAAATCTAGATTTATTTTTTTTCTTTGCTTTTTATTTTGTTGGCTTTATTTTTTTTATTGTATTTGGGAGATATAATTTTTTGAAAATATCTTGAATTTTTTTCATAAAAAAAACAAGCTTTGTTTTTTTATTCTTTTTCTTATTTACTCGGGAGACATGATTTTGGCGAAAAGTTTTTGTTAATTTTTTATAATTTAAATTTTCTTTTATTTTGCTTTTTTAAGTTAATTTTTCTTTTTTTTTTTTTTTTAAATTGCAATACATCATTGCTTTAAAACGCCATATGCCACTTTTCTATTTATATTTTAATGTCAATGATTGTTTATTTAAAAAAAACCAGATGTAAGCTTCATTTTTATTCTGTTCCCGTTACAGTATAATTAAACCTTACTTTTAATTATTTATTTTTATAAATTTTTAATTTAGGTTAATAATTGAGAATTTAGGTTATAGTACGGTTATCTTATGCCTTCGCTTTTTACTTTTATATTCGAGCATTTTTTCAATTATTATTATTTTTTTTAGTGAATGATGTATGGTTTATTGGTTTGTTTTAGTAATGATTAGGGGTGTAATAAATTGATTTCTAGTTGCTACAATATTAAACTCGAATTTGAATTCGATTCAAAATTTAAAGTTCAAAATTCGACTCGAATTCGATCAAATTTTATTTTTTTAGTTCTAACTCAACTCGAAATAAAAATTAAATTACTTAAATTCATTCGATTATGCTCGATTAACATATAAAAATAAGTTTGATTTTATATTCGATAAAAGCTCGATTATTTGTGCTTAAATTCGAACTCGAATTTAAGATATTTTATTAATTAAAATAATAAAAATATATTTAAATATAAAAGTTCAATTAGACTCGCGAGTTATTCGAGTCAATTATAAAAATACTCAAACTCAATTCGATTGATAAGTCGAGCTACTCGAGCTCAACCTCAACTTGATAATAAAATCGAATTCAAGTTTTATTTAAATTGAATTCAAATAATTTACGAATATTAATATATCATTTACACATTTAATAATGATTTGTGTGTGTTTCCTATTAAATTAAAAACCATATAACATATAAAACTTAAGAAAAAAGTTAAAGAGAGATAAGGATTGATAACATGTTATAAAAAGATTGGTTTTATTTGTGATGGAGTTTTCAAATGAATCAATTGCATTTGAAGGATGTTGGAGCGTGAGATACAATGTATTAAAAGTTTATTTTCAATAAAAATGACGTGGATGTATCGAAGTCATTGATTTATTTTTATTTTCAATAAAGATGATGTTGATGCATCGAAGCCGTTCATTTATTTCCTGTTGAATATTCATTATATATTCATAATTTTTATTAGAATTATAGAAGTTTAAATTTATGATACAATAAAAATATCACAAGCATATATATATATATATATTTATACATATATAAATTATAAGCATATTTAAATAGAAAAAACAAAAATTAATCTCATTCAACCGAAATCATAAGTTTTAAAATTAGAGAAATATGTCAAAGTACTGTTTTAAAAAAAGTAAAAATAAAAGTAAAAAAGAATGTGATTTACCTCTCATTAAGGATTCAACTATTGGATCACAAGTATTAACCATGATAGTATCATCTAACATGCTAATGAAAGCAAATGTTGCATCTTCTCCTTTGTGTCTATTTACATTATTTTCTCTCCTTCTACATTAGGCATGTAATTGGGATCTTGATCACACTTATGAAATTCTTCATCTTCAATTGAATGCATCTTCATATTCTCCATCTTATTTTCACATACCTGTTCAATTATGTTACTAACATGATCGGGTTAATTTTGGTCTGCTTGTAATATTTAGAATTTGTAAGGGTAAAATAAAAATTAAAAAAAAATTATTGAACCAAAAAGAGTATATATTCTCACTTCAAAAATTACTGTCAACACCCAATTACTTTTCACACCCTAAATTCAAAACCTAAAAAATAATTTTTAGTTATTACATCTCTAAATCACATTTTTTATTTTCTCTAAATACCCCTCACACCCATTTTTCCATTTCCTTCTCCATCTTTTATTCAACCTAAGCCGTCAAACCCTAACACTAAAAATCATCCTATAAACTTCAATCCAAACCTTAAAATCACAAGTTTCGAAGTTAATTAAACTACCAAGCTTCAATTTAGAGATAAATTGCATGTGATTCTGTTTGATTTTGACAAAATATTTATTAAATTGAAATATGATATTGAGTTTTCTTTTTGCATAAAATCATTAATTCTGAATTTGCATTTTTTAATGCAAAAACTTTTAAAAAATTTTTAAAATATAAATTTTAAAACTTTCATAAGTTTTCGAAAATATAAATCCAAAAACTTGTAAATCTCAAACTCTTCATCCCATCGATTTTCTGTCCACCTTGTGTATCAATTTTTATAATATACTAGATAATAATTGTAATTTCTATAGTCTATGATTTGTGATAGATATGGGTATATATGGAAAGAAAGATAAAAACCAAAGAAGAAGAGACGAAAAAAAGAGGCAAAAAAAAAAAGGTTAAAGTCGATATAGAACTTGAAAGATAATTTGTCAAAAAATGATTAAATGATCATTTAGAGATATTGTTATAAACGCAAATTTGAAATGTAGAAGGTAAATACTGGGGTGTGAACAAAAGCACCCAAAGCCAAAAGTTGAACCGCATAAATTGTTAAAAGTCTGTTCACTTGAAGCTATAGCTTCAACATTTGGTTGTCCAAAAACTATTAACTGCTTCTCGCATAATTTTTTTAAAACATTCCAAACACTAGGATTTTTTTTATTTTTTTTTTTGTAATAATTGCTTATCAAAAGTGATCAAAAGTACAACCAAATCAGAGTGATCAAAAGTCATGGACAAATTAACATATAACCATAGAATAAGTACAATCATTGCAAAAAGAGGAAATAGTTGTACTAATAGAACATGAAATTATTGAAAATGACAATATCGTATGAACCTTCATTTTTCTTACTATTCTAGTTAAATTTAGTGACTAATAAAATATGAAAAGTTTTTCCAAATAATGAAATTAATTTCTTTAAATTTTTGTTTTAAAAGTATAATAAGTCTTAAATTTCTAGAGAATGCCTATGCATTTTGAGATAACTTTTTTTTTACAAAAAAGATAACAATTTAAAAATTAAAAAAAAATAAACAATCATTAAAATTTAAACTTTAAATTTACTTAATGTCTTTGATCAATTAAATTTGTTACACACCCCAAACCAATTAATCCTTACAATTGCAGTTAACCAATAGAATTTTTGCTTGAGAAAGGTAAACTTTTAAATATCATTTATAAAATATTATTACAGTAAGCTTTTCATTGTTTTCTTTTCAGTTATTTCAGTCACTAAACGAATTAAATTCACTAGTTTGCTTAAACTTAATTTGTTTCTCTTAAAACTGTCGAAGAATGAATGTTCAATAACTAGAAAAAACAACACAGCAATTTATAGATAGCAATAACTAGAAACTTTTAAAAAGATAATAATGCATTGCTTATAACAGTAAGGCCATGCTTAGACTCTACAAAAACAAATCTTTCAAGTGCCTTCGCACAAATCTCATCTCTATTTTCTTCCTTCTTCGAAAGCGATAAGGAATGCTTTAAAAAAATAATTTATATAATGAAAAAAATGACCACCTGCTACCACTACGTAGCATCCTCATATATGACGTGAAGAGTTTTTTAAAAAGATATATATAATATAGAAGTAAGGAAGCAGCAGTCTCACTTGATTTCACTGAGTCTGGTGTGTTTCTTCTTGGTTCTTTGCTTTGCCTCTAAGCATGTCAGTGACCCTCATGATTCGCATGAATCTGGTATCCTCTGCCGGTGCAGGTGCTGCCGCAGCTTTTGGGGATTCAACTGGCTCAGTTGGTGATTCAGTAATCTCTTTCTTGCCTAGCAGCCCACCCTCACCAAAGAAACTAGTCACCGATGATGCAATCCCCAGGTGAGCTCCCATCACCTTACTCAAAGCCTCAAAAGTCCCACCCGACCTTTCTTTCAATATTATTTCAAGGGCTTCTTTGTGTGCTGGATCTAGTGCATCAGGGTCTTTGAACATGTTTTGTATGGTAGGAAGGAGGAAATCGCGAATGCTATTTGCTGAAAGATCTGCAACAAAATGAGAATAAGCACCAAAATACAACAAAAGAAACCTTATTGCAATGACCATCCCACCCGTCCAGAAGGCAGGATGACCAATAGGCCTGTGGTTTTCCACTAACATACACATAATCAGTGATTACTATGAGTAACAGTTCAACTGAGTTAATTCATTGTAAACCGAGAAAAGTTCAATGCAGGCACACAAAAGTTGATGCGACTAAAGCATCACCATAAGTAGGGCATATTTGATGTTTGTCCAGCTTGCCATCGAATCAGGGGAATAAGGCTCCAATAAGGTGTTCAAAGGAAAATATAGACAAAATTTATTCTTACTACAAACAGAATATAAACATAATATAGTGATTATATTATAAGAAGAACCTTTCAAGGAAAAATGGAAAAATGATAAAATTGTAGTAATCATTATTAATCCTTCTTGACTTCCTACCAGGCAAGCCAGCACATAATGCATGATGTGTATGGTTTTAATCTGAGATTTATGAATATCACTAGTGACGGAAAGGAAACCAACTTATGAGGCCACAAATAAAACCCAGCTATCTCGAACCAATCCCACTCCCCCCAACCCTGCCGGCACATCTCTTCCCCTTCCCCGGTGCCTTAGGAATGAAAATTGACTAGCAAGTGAATTTTTACTCTGTTCCCTCCCCTCCCCTTCTCTTTTCTGTGATGACAAGGGAAATAACAGAGAACAGATAAGGGGGAGAAGAGATGTCTCCAGTCACTAAGAGAAGCAAACCTGTTGCATCAACAGCACGAATGGCTTCACAAAATACATTAGCTCTCTGCCGACGATGCATCACATCAGTTGCAGAAACAGGCGTGCTTGTCAGTTGGAAAATCTTAGATAAAAGATGTAAATCATGTTAAGGAAACAATGGCTTCACACAATAATTGGAGACTGGCAACCACTAAAATGGCTAAATCAAAATGCACAATCAATGAATGAAGTTCTAAAAGTTGATTTTCACATGAAAGTCGAGGATATAATCCCTTAGTCTCTCTGTTGTATGTGGAACTGCTACCACTAATGAACGGACCACAGCAATGGTTGCTTCATGGGATCCATCTTCAAGAAAAGCATCCATTTGAACACGTATTTTATCAACAATCTGCAACATAATGAGTTAGCAAGAACAATGTATAGGAACAGCACCAGCATGAATCAGAATAAAAACCTTGTACCATGTCATTTTTAAAATGTTGTGCCACAGCTCCAAATGCGTCTATGCTTGCATACTTCACATTCAGGTTTTGGTCAGAGCCAAGGGTAATCAAGGCAGGGAGAACATGTGTAGATGCAACTTTTGCTCCAATATATGGCACCTGTTAAATGTATGAAGTCAATATCTAACTATCAGATATAGCAGGATATATTTGTTTCAAAGGAAAGAGAAACATACAATGACTTTCAATATATTGGCAGCACTGATCTTCATTTCTATATTAGAGCTTACAACCATTTCCCACAAGATATTGAATATCATACCATGATGCTCTTCAAATGTGCTGCATTATTGAAGAATATTTTTTGTGAAATTTTCAGTAATAAATAACAAATAATTGGGACAAAAGGTTTTTAATTACAAACCAAAGGAAGCGGACAGCATTAACAATATCAATGTTGTGTGTTGTAGACTGATTCTCTTTCATGGCACCTTCAACTAGTAGCTTTCTCAAATAGTCTGCTAACTGTTCACGCTTACCAGGAGATCCTAGAACACCCGCCAAGAGAAGTGGCAGGATACCTAGAATAGCAAGCCTCTCTGCAACAGCTGTTCTTGGTCTGAGACCTGCAACCAAGCAACAATTAAGGATTATTCAATGATAATATTTTAACAAGATTCTATGGATCCAGTACCTTTGATTCTTGAATGAATGTTGGGAGGGAAAAACATCAAATCAGCATCATCCCCAACCGCTACCAAGAATACAGGTAGCATTATGTGCGTCAAATAAGAATCCCCAAAACATTCAGAAACGGCTAACAAAAACTGCAATATCATGATATAGATTAGCAGCAAGAACACAAGCATTATTTTCAATAGAACAAGCAATGATGAAAGCAGAAAATCCCATTAAAAATGCAATATTGACCAAAATACCTTGGTAGTTCGGTTTCTTAAACTATCTTCTTTCTGGGGTAACAACCAAGCCAGCTGCAGCAAACCAGAAAGGCAATCGACATGCATCCATTCAAATGCAGGCCATTCGACATGTCCCCTAGTAGAATATTAAAATCTATCAAAATCAGATCTGTTCATAACTAAGCTATCAAATATCATCCATATGCTCATCCAAAAGTCAGATAGAAAAAAGTAAATGCAAATCCAGTCAAATCAACAAAGAAAAAACAAAAGCTTACCCTGCATACAGTTCAAGTATGGAGGTGGAAAATATTGTCCCATTTGACTCCGAAACAGATGAGAATGGGCATGTCTCAATGGCTTTCTGATGCACATAAGGAAGCAATTCAGCCAACATTCTTAACAAAACATCAAGATTCCAACGCTCTCGTTCACCTAAAACACGAAGGTGGGACTCCAATGATCCTTCAACTCCAGAAAGAGGTGGGCAACGCTAAGAATATTGAGGGAATGATATTAAAACATAGAAGTATTGCAAACTGGAAATGTGGTAGTATCCACTGGTAATTGAGAAATGAAAGGGTGAAAAGTTACCTGAGCAGAGCCTAAGATATGAGAGAGTAGAACTCTCAAAATATTGTCTAACTTGTTTCCCCAATTTATTATTGCAGGAAGTAGTTCTTTTAGTGTAGTTTCAACCACCACTCCAGATGGATCACAGGCTAATTGGAACATCAATTCCTCAACCTATGAATAAACAAATAAGGCATTGGAGAATTTATATATATATATATATATATTTTGTTATACTCTTTATTTCGTTCAAGCCATGATATGATATTATGCTAAGGGCAAAAGGCTCCATTCCCTAGACCATGGGTCATCAACCTGTTCTAGAGCTTACATTGTAGCCAATTCTGTCAAGTCAGAATTCTTCTCCATGATTGCCTCGAAGCATATTTAATGAAGCTGACCTTGAAATATTTATCCATAAGCGGAAAGAGTGGAAGCAGCAAGGCCAGGTTGTGTGCAGCAGCTTCTCGAACAACAGTTGCAGGATCTTCAATCAGTTGTTGCACAATAGATAAAATAAGAGAATCACGAATCTCAGGTTGGACAAATTCAGCAAGCTCTCCGCATGATTGAGCAACCAGCAACCTACGCTCCTCATACATATGATTTATCTGCATTTAGAAAACAAAAAATAAATAAATTGAAATCAGCTACTACAAATATAACTAAGACAAGCAAGAAATAAGCAGTGCAGAAACTCACTTGTTCCCAGCACTGGGGGAGCAATTCTGTTTCCGTTCTCATCTCCCCCACATTTTTGGCAAGGGTAACACATGCCTGAAATGAAGTTGAAAAAATTTAGCACCATATCCAAACTTGTATCTATTGGATGCTAAAATGTGATCTATGAATGGTAACATACATCCATTATGATTCGCCTCTGCTGTTCATCTGGACGTTTAATCAAATTGAAGAGTGTGTGTGTCAATGAATCTCGAGTGCTGTTATCTGGATGCCGCTCAATAGCACACATTATCAGCGGAAGAAGCTCCTAGAGATAAATAAAATAAATAAGGAATTAAAATAAATTCATAAAAAATAATAAACATGATACATTTCCGAGTAAAAGCTATTATAGTCCAAAAGTGACCTCCCGATGGTTAATCAAAACATATGGAACAATCTTAGGCAAGGCATCTGCAAGGATTTGAATCGTTCCCAAACCCTGTCAAAATAAAAACTCTGCATCAGACATGATATATTTATTTGAATTTCTATGATGGGAAACACAAGGATAGAGCAGACAAAGGGAGAACAGTCACAAAGGTTGGGGAATAAGGACTGGGAGGCAAGTAAGGTTTACAAATAAAAGAAATTATGCTATTCAAATGGAGAGCCTATCTAAAATGTAAACAGACATGAAAAATCTCATATACAGGATAAGAGCCCCAACCCACCCAATTGCCCCACCAAATCCACAGACAGAGAAATCACTGCTACCACCCTTGAGGATAAGGATATACTATCATTAAGAAAAATAAAAACTTGCCGTATTATCAGGAGCAGGTCCACAGCCAAGGTTTTCTGATTTTAAATGCAACCCACCATCTTCTGATGGTAGTTTCTCATCTTGTTGGGAAAGAATTCCAGCATCTGGGAAACAATCAGTACTGCTTGAAGTATTCATAACTGATTCTGGCAAATTTTCTTCAGGCTTGTGAGTGCTGGTCTCGAATGTTTGAAGTGGCATTAATGGCGTGTTGCTGTCTACAACTTCTGCCGCTTCAATAGGATGAGAGATTAGAGTTTTATTTTCATCCATCTCAACGACTTTCTCTTCTGTCTGTATTGATTCTTTCTCACCAAAGCTGGAATCAACTAAATCTGAAATATGTGTTTTCTCTGCCTTTAATCTTTCAATTTCCACCTGCAAAGACTTTATTTCTTCCTTGTAACTTTTGAAGGCCTGGGATTGAGTAGAGTCAACATTAGTAGCCACCGAATTTTGTACAGAATGAGATCCTTCAATGTGCATTTTCAGAGATGTGATTTCAGCTCTACAATCATTTAGTTCCTGCCTTTGGTGCTCACAGGCATGTTTCAGATCTTGTATCTGAAGAAATATGAAGTCAATGTAGAAATTACCATTTTAGCACTACCAAGGACCTGCTCTAAAAGCAATTATCTTAAGAGAGAACTACCAGCTTATCCTTGTCCTTCAGATCCTTCTGAGCAGCTTCCAAGGATTTCGTTAATGCATTCATTTGACCTTCAGCCAAATTCTTGTTTTTCATCAAGCACTCTTTCTCATGATTTAAACTCTCATTTGCTTTTTTTAATGAGTCATTTTCTCGAATCATAGAAATTTTCTCCTGCAACATAAGAGGCATTAGTGTCTTCAAAAATAAGAAATTCACTGCAAGTAGAAAGATCTAATGAAGTGTAACAGCAAATATTGTAGAAACGTTGATCCTTCGTAATCAAAATTGACATCTTAATTGCCAAAGATATTAAGTCAAGCAACATGTATCTACAACATGTAGAAGAAGTATCTATAACAAGCAATGTCAACCACATCCAAATGTAGTAAAAAAAAAAAAAAAGCCTTGTCGGCCAAGATTGCAAGTCAAAGATCCATTTTCATCTCTGATTGATATGTAAAGAGCAAAGATTGTTTTTTGATGAACAAGTTCCATAACATAATACTACAAGCAACACCTTTATTAACAAACTAGAATAAGTTTGAAGTACTTTGTAATGAATATTACAACTGACAGTTCAAGTTGATTTTATTGCACTCAGCAAGGGATTTGAAAAGATATGTACAAACACAACACAAAAAATGCAAAAAAAAAAAAAAAAGCGGGTGACTGAAATAATAATTTTTCCCTCTAAGCAAAGTCAACAGTAATAAAGAACAATAGCTATAAAGTAAAAATACGAAAAATATTCAGTATGATTTGATACGAACAGTCAAAAACAACTGACCTACCTCAGCAGCTTCTGAAGTTGAAGAGAGGTACTGATAATAATAATGGCGTAAGGCATCAGGTACAGATGCTGGTGAGTTTTCCCAAACATCTAGTTTCTGATCTGTAACCTGAGGTTAAACAATAAATCAGCTATGACAACTAGCTGTAAAAGATGCAAATTCACCAGATTACACTCCCGCTTCATATCCCTTCAGAGGCCTCAAAAGCTACTTGTGTAGGAGAAAAATTAAGACATACCAAAAAGAAAGATGAAAATCAGCTTCTCTGAATTCTATGATCATTACAGTCTCTCTCTCTCTCTCTCTCTCTCTCTCTCTCTCTTTGCTGATTTTACAATTGAAAAAGGTGGCAGAACACCCATAGAAAAAGCAGATTACTTAGGTTCTAATGTTAAATCAAGAGCCAGATCAACCCCAGGCTGTGTTTTCTGTCTTTTAAACTATCTTCATGTTCAGAAAATCTAAGCTTAATATGTTATAGGGCAAGTATTTTGTGCTTGTAGTTTCAAAATAATAATTCAAAATTTCCACAATTTTCAGATTATTGAGTTTTGCATTAAGCTTAGAGCATTTGGATTGGCAGGACAGCCAGCCCTTGCAGCCAAACCAATCACAAAGAACAGTTGAGGTCCTCTAATGCTAGTTGATGCAGATTTACAGAATTAAAAATAAGTAACAAGAAGAAAACACTACCAATAGTTCCGCATACCTCTTCATAAAACGTCATTGCAGTTAGTCGGTATCCAGCTATCAGCAAATATTCCTTGACCGCACAATTTAGATCTTTTCGCTCATTAGCCTTCAATGGGCCCAAATCAGAGAAGGGAGCATCTCTCTTTTGTCGATGGATTTCCAGTGCATGATTTATAGAATTGCTCCCACTTGATTCTACATATGCATCCAACATAAAAGGAATTAACAAATGCCAGAAGCATGGTGGCTAACTAATGATTAAAGCATGCACAAATAGAATAATCCTGCTGTGCCCAACTGCCCATATGTGGCCAGCGGAAATCCTACAAAGCCCACCAATTATGCAAAACAGTTGTCAATGAAAAGCAACTGCTGCAGAAATATGGGTGTCATTCCCAAATAATGTATGAATATCTAGGATGATAAGGAGAAAACTACATTTCATTCTATGCATAGACATAGTCATGCAAGTTTGCCAACCTCATGTAATGCAAAAAGAGCCAAAAGAACAATTTCCTCATTGTTTACTTTTACCACAAGTAACTCACCAATAGTGAACTCATATGATTTGGGTAGCTACTCTTGAGCATTTTGTTGCTTCTAATGATTCTTAGAGCCATAAATAAAATGCATAGAAAAAATGTATCATTCAAAGAGATTAAATTTTCTCTAAAAATATCATTTACAAAAAAAAAATAAAAAAGACTCTGTTTGATTGATGTTTTTACTATTTGCTTCCTTTTTCTGCAAAATCCTAACAAGAAAGCAAAAGGCAAAAAAAGTACAAATAAATAGAAAACAAAAGGCAAATAACAAAAGCATCAACCAAATGGATTGTAAATTCAAATATTGGATAAAAATTAAATGCTACCACTCAATTTATCCTGAGGGAGATCTGCTTTCCTTTGTAACTCAGTCTTGAGTTTTATAATGTCTTCTTGAGCTAAACGCAGTTCATAGTCACTAAGTGCTAATTTTTCTTCTATTGCTTCTTTCTCTGCTAGCAAACTCTGAGGGTCTACAACTGCATTTCAAGAAATAAAAGGATAGATGAAACTATCAATAAGGTTCACATATTCCAATTTTAATATTCTTACATAAAAATAAACTCATAGATTTCATTCTTCCAGAAAAGATCAAATTTTATTATATTTTTTTCTTATATACAAATTTGGATTTTCAAAAATATTAAAGCTCCCTTACCTTGTTAGTTTCGCTACTTGATTTCTATACAACACTTTTGTTAGGGGCATTTTAGTGTCCAAAAGGCAAAATAGACAATTATCCTCCAGAGTATAAGTTAGTTGACAAGTAGAGGCATTATGATCATTTCAACCAAGCTTACATGTCGGACCGACCTAAAATCCCAGGGTTTACGTCAACTCGACCACCTCAGTAACCTATAAGTTAGTGCTCCAAGATGCTAATTTATCATGCCCTAAGTAGACTATCAACTGCCAGCTCAGCTCGAGCTTACGAGATCAGCCCTAGTCCCCTATGCTGACCTCGGACATCCTAGACCCAAAATCCCCCATCACACAGTTATAAATAACCCCATCCAGATATCAATAAGCCATCTAACACTTAGCTTTTAAGTCTTTCTTCTGCTTCTCATTCCTAGACTCTGACTAAAGCATCGGAATACAAACGCCTAAATAACTCCCAGCCTTTGTGGTTGGCGGATCTCTCTTTCTTGTGTTTTCAGGATTTTATCCCTCATGGACAGTTCGACACAAACAACTTTCGGAATCAAATTTCCTCTACATTTCGATCTAATCATAAGTAACACTTAAAACACATTTCATTTTTTTTAATTAAAAAAGAAAGAAAATTTCTATGCCCAAATCATTTCCGATTCGATACCTGAAAGAGAAATTTTTTTAAAAAAAAGTAGTACCTCGAATGGAGTTGTAACGAGAGATTTGATCAGCGGGAAAATGAGAAGGATCGGAGAAGAACTCCTTGAGGCGAATAGCATGAGCGTCACGGCCATCGTCGAGAAGCTCGTGGAGTAATTCAAATGCCGTCAACAAGTAATTTTCTTCTAGTAGAAAATTCACCACGCAATTGCACAGCGATGATCTCTCTACATCCATCATCTAATTCTTTTCCAATCAATCAAATCACGCCGTTTATCAACATCAGGATCTAATCAAACATTTCTCTCAAAACAAAACCTCCCTTTTTATGGTAACGAAATGGTTTCAGTTTCAGAGCTCGTGTTTTCTTGAAAGTCTTTAAGCTGGAAGGCGAGGGAGAGACTTTCGATTTGGTGTGACCGAAAAGTATTAAGATTTCCTGGAGTTGATCTAGTATGGGCCGTTGACCTAATGAGGTTTTCAAATTTAGATCTGGGCGAGGTCGGACGTGGGCTGTAGGATCCGTCAGATTGAGCACGTGCATCGGTGCATGAGAGTTTGGAGTAGCGTTAGCATGACTGCATGAGAGTTTGTTTAATTGCTTTTCTTGTTTGAAACGGTAAATTTGGCTGATTTGGGTTGAACTGAAATCTTTTTATGAAATAATATTTTGAATTATGGGTACATTTGATCGATAAGACTATGCACAAGAAACAATAAGATAAAATTATGATAGACTTGAATTAAATAAAGTCATTTATTTTATATTATGTTTAATGGTTCAAAAGATTATATAAGATAATTATGACAAGATGATACCTCTTAAAAAAATATTTTAAAAAATGATTATTGTAAAAAAATATTCGATTCAATTTAAATTTAAATATTAAAATATGTTTTAAAGTTTGGATTAAAAAATAAAAATATTTAAATTTAATCAAATTATATTTATTATTTTTATATATTTTAAATTTTTAAAAAATAAAAATAATTATTTTATATTTAAATATATTAACATCTATTTTAAAATAATATTAAAATATAAATTTTTAAAAAAACTCATTAATTGAATTGATAAAATTTAATTTGATCAATTTAAAAAAAAATTAAATCAAATTTTTAAAATTTAAAATGTTATACATTAATAAAAAATCAAATAAAATTTAATATGATTTGAATCATTATTATTTTTTTAAATATTAAATGTGTTGGTTTTGAATTTTTGAATCATCAAGTCTCATAATTTTTTATACGATTATGACTAATATTAGAACCGTCAACAAAGCTCAAAGCAAACTCAAAAGAATCATATTAATATATATTTACCAATTACCATTAACTAAATTTTTTTATAAAAAAAAGACATTTTTTATAAAAGCTAAAAGCAATATGATTTAAATAAAAAAATTATGAACTTTGAATAATTAAAATTATCAAAATAAAGAGACTACAATTATATATATTATACTATATATTTTTCAAACAACTAATTCTTCACTAATAAAATTATTAAATTACCAAATCACCAAAATTGGGAGCTTAAACAGGCAAAGAGAAAGAAGAAGACAGAGGGGGGAGTCAGCGAATTTTTCCCAAACAAGTATAAACTTTATTCTGAAAAGCAGGTTATATTGCATAATTGGATTCCACGTCAGCATGATAATTCCAACTCACCTTCCTTCGTCGTTCTCCCCATCTCTTTCTCTTCCGTAAATATGTAACTACATATTCTCACTTCAGTATTTTTTGCTATTGTCAAAAATTTTTTTTAAAAAAAAGCCTTAATAAAATCTTCGTAAATGAAAAATAAAAAATCCATTGGTTCTGATAAAGTCTTCGTATTCTCTTTTTATTTTTATTTTTTTTCTAAATCATTCAAAACAAAGACTGTAACTACAGAGATTTGAGAAAAGAGTAATTTTTTTTCAAGTTTTGAATTTTTTACAAAATTATAATTAATTATATAAATTTTTATTTATTTTACTTTTTGCCGTGTGTGACTTGGATTCCATGTGTACAAATTATCTTATTTTGAGAATTAAGTCAAAAACTACCCTAATTTAGTAAATAAAATTAAAGAGCACATTGGTAGCGGAAAAAAACTCGGGAGTCAGTTATAGTGTTAGTCTCTAGGAGAGCTTATAATTAGGACAAGTTTAAGATGCTGGATGGAAGTTTTAAGTTGAGTTTTATTAAACTGGTTAGGACAAGTTTACTACAACAGGAGACGTGTCTTTTCTATGAGACTTGAGAATTGAGATTGCTTTGATGTCCCGTTTTTTGATTTATGGATTAATTGTAACGCTTTCAATATGTGAATATAATATTATATATATTTAAATTTAAATTTATGAAATATTTTTTTAAAATAAAATTATGAAATTTTCACATTAAAATATATAATATTCTCAAATTAAATATGAATTTTCACAAATGATATTAAAATAAATTATTAAATGTTAATGTTATACGGTAGGAATGAGTTACCTTTAAAATTTTAACATTTATGTGATTTTGGTCTTAAATCATAAAAGTCATTAAGTATTACATAATAAAGAGTAGTTATCTTTAGAATTTTAATATCTAATATGATTTTTGTTTTGTAATTGAATTTAACTTGACAGAAACGTTAAACTTTAAAAATAAATAAATTATAATGCTTATAATTTCAAATTAAAAAAATGTATAGATATAATATATATATATATATATAATTTAAATTCAAGTTTATAAGACATCTTTTATAAAATATATCCTTGAAACATTTGAACCAAACGATTAAAAATGAAGGTCATTGCTCGAAAAGTTCTTACATAAAACAAATTGGAATGCAGATGCTTAACTTTATGGTTTCTTGCAACGTGATGATGGTAAGTGTAATAGCTACAAAATTAAATCAAATGTGGTGCCTATGAAAATTATGCAAATTGACATTGATATTGCGATTTTTTATGAAATATTTTTTAACCAAACTTATTGAGATGATATAATGAAAAACTAATTTTACACAACATTTTATCTTAATTTATATAACATTTTAATCAATATTCAATTAATTTTACAACACCCACAAATATTTAACATCTATAACAATAGATTAAAGTTATGCCTTGAAAATTAAACTGTCTTTAGCTTCAATTTTGCACCTTTCAGATGATATGTGAACAATGTATATGTGTTTCAACTTTTCACGTATGTTTAATTTAATTTACTGTCATATTATAATATTAAATATATATTGAATAATAAATTTAAGACAAAAAATTTAAAAAACCATGATGAAAGAATCTAATATTCTAACTTATTGTTCAAGTAATTAATACATGACAATAAAATTTTTTTATTTAAGTATCCATTTGTTTTCTGAAAATTGATTTTCAAAAAATATTTATATTTTTTAAAAATAGAGATTTTTCGTTATTTAAATTAGTTAATAAAAATATTTTTATTATTTGATTGGTTTATAGAAAATCTATTTTTTAAAAATAATATTGATATAACTATTAAATTTCATTATTAAATATATTGAAATTATTTATTATTAAAATTATTAACAATAAAAAATAATGATATTTTAATAGTAATATTCAATATTAAATATTATATTAATAGTAAGCACTTAAAATAAAACTATTTATTATTTATATTAATATTTTAAAATATTTAATATAATATTACTTTCTTAAAATATTAAAAAATATTTATACTACAAAAAAAGTTGTATTTTATATTGAAAGTATCTATTATTAAATCATAAAAATATTATTTGTTTATATTTATTACTAAAATAGTAATACAAATAAAATTAGTCAATAAATATGAAAATTAAATATTTTAAATAGCTAAATATTAAGAAATGATTCAAAATATTTGTATTATTAAAATAATAATATTGTCATATTAAATATTATTAATTATTTAAATAATAAAATATTATTTACTATATTAATATTTATTAGTGAAATAATAATATAATGCTATTTATTATTGAAATATTGAAATATTATGTTTAGGAATATATAACATACAAATATTTAAGATTGAAATATCGAAAGATTTTTAATATTAATTTTTTAATTAAAATCAAAATTTTTTTTTAATTATATAATAATATTTTAGGTGAAGTCAAATTAAGTTCGAGTTTAAAGTATTATGTTTAAGGCTTGATTTGAGTATAATTACAAAATTATTTTAAAATTAAAATATTAAAAAATTTTAATTTTAATTTTAATATTTTAAGTAAAATTAAATAAATATTTTTTATTAACATAATAATATTTTAAGTAGGGTTAAATTAATTATCAGCTTACAAAATCATATCCAAGCTCCGGTTCGAGTAGAACATGTTCACGAATTTTGTTAGTTTTACCCATAAATAACACATTTATGAAAATTGTTGGATACTTTTGAAAAGGGAAAAAATAATCTCATTTTTCGTTGATTAATAAGTTATTTTTTATTGATCAATTAATTTTTTATCAAATAAAATATTAAAAAATACAAAAATTATTTTTTAAAAATTATTTTCGCAAAACATACAAAGTCTAAAGTTTTAGGTTTGAAATAGATTATACATACCTCTAAGTATAAACTCTTTCTTCTCTTTTGATAGTGGTAAAATATACTTAAGAAAGAAATTCTTGAGATTTACTTATTTTTGGGTGATTTGATGTTTAACACTATTTTCACTCAAACCCCTAAATAAATCTTATCTTAATATAAAAACTAAATAATTTATTTATTCTCAATTTTCTATATTAAAAAATTAAACTAATAAAATTAATGATTTTACAAGATTAAACAAATAATAAAAGTAGAAAAACTTGATTAATCGAAATTGAAATGAAAGACTAACATGTCCCATCCAAATTAATACAACATCTAAAACCTTTCTTTTACAAATTCTAATATATATATAAAAAAAGGAAGAAAAAAAGAAGTTGGAAGTGAAAAGTTTGGAGCTTGAGCCGCAACTTGAAATTAAGTATGTTAATTTTATTCATATTTAATAAAAAATTTAATTTTTTATTCAATGAGAATGGAGATTGATTTTATATTATAGGTACAAAGATGTGAAATTATAATTTTAAAATTTTATTAGGTATGAAAGTAAGGATGGTTAATATAATACTCGTTTCATATTTATACCTTATATATATTTATATATATTTAATAAATAAATTTTATATTAAATAATATAAATTATTATTTTAGATTAATTAAAATTAATATATTTTTATTGAAAAAATATATATTACATATTAAAAAAAATTACCTACGTATATAAAATAAAAATTAAAAAAGTTAAAAAATAAATTTTTATTTTTATTTTATTTAAAAAAGTTATCGGTATAAGAAATTCTCATACCTATTAAATATTCATAAAAATATGGATAAAGATAGATTTGAAATATCTATAAAATATGAATACAAAAATAAATATAATATAAAATTTAAGAAATAGATGGGGAATACTTTATTTTTTTATATTTACCCATTGACATTTTTACTTAAAATATTAAATTATTAATAAAAATATTTTTAATAATTTTAATTTAAAAATATATAAAATATAAATATAAATATTTTAATATTTTTAAACATTTTATTTTTTAAAAAAAGTTCAAATGTCTTTGACCATACAAACCAAGGCAAGTTGAACCTTAAGCAACCTTAAGCAAGACTGCTAAAAAATAGCCTAACCCGATCTAATTGTGACTCATGAATTGGTTTAGTGGAAAGTAGCATTAGCAGATATTTAAATCTTAATTCATTAATGGTATCATTATGGAAATATTTCATCCATAATTTTTATTATAATATTATAATTAATTAATTATAATAAAAATATATAAATGTCCAATATTTAAAAATGTGGACTCCATGGATAAACTTCACACGCGCCAACTATAATTCGTGAGTTTCTCACTGAAACTCATGTAAATTTCCTTTTTTTTTTTTTTTCTAAATTTATAACTTTATGATTCATTTCCGTTGACAAAAGAAGTAATGCCAGTGAAAATAATTTTACAATTTTATTAAAATCTGCTTGATTTTTAATATCATTATACATTTTTTGTAATGAAAATGGATCACAATTATAAAAAATATTTTTTAAACAGTACAAATAAAAAAAATCGTAAATCACAAAAGATGTACATAAAATTTTTAAAATGTTTTATAAATTTTATATAATATTAAATTATAATTAATTAATTATATTATGATAATAATTAATAATATACTCCCAACATCGTACAAATAAAATTGAATGGCATCTTCTGGCCGGTCATGTGGATTAGCTTCTAAAGACGTGGCTTCTCATCTGCCTTGATTGGTGTGACAGTTTCATCTCTGTCGTTACCTCCAAAATGTCTGGTTGGTCCCCCACAGCTTCAATACATAACATTTTCTCTGCCTTATGATCCATCACAAGAAAATTTTCAAATGCTGCTCAATGTTTGTTAACTACATTACTTCTTATCATTTATTGGAGAAATCATTGATAATAATACAGTTATAGAATAAATTCTACATTTCCATATCACAAAATGATATGTTAGGAATCAATTATAATATATATTTTATGAAATTAAAAAAAAATCCAATTTAAAGCTTATAGGTTTATGTGACCTTAATTAAAAACCCACCAACGTATCGTTTTTGGAAGTTGAAGAAAAAAATAGTGATTATCCATACTTTCATTTTAGAAGTAATAAAATAATATGACATCAAATTGATACGTAAAAAAATTAAAAATGACATCATTTAAAATTTTAATAAAAATTATAAATAAATTTAATAAAAATAAAAATATATTTTTTAAATTTGAAATGTCGACATAAGTTATAATATATTAATTTTTATATTTTATATGTATTTAATATAAAACATATACAACATAAATATACAAATTGATTAAATTTAGTGTCACTTGGATATTGCACTTAGATGCCAAGGTTTCTTTCTTGAGTTTATATTTGATTGATTGTTAGTATATAAATTTTATATATTATATGACTTTTCTCTCTTAACTTAGTTGTTAAGAGATTAGTTGAAAGTCATGTAAGGCGTAAATTCTACCCAACAATCCTTTCTCTCCCTTGTAAGGGCATTAGCTCTCTTTTGCAACAAAAAATATATATATATTGTTAGTAAATTTAATAATATTATCTTATTAATAAATATATATCAATTTTTAAAATAATTATATAAAAAATTAATTTTTTAAAAATTTATTAATTAATGAAATAATATCATTTGATTCACTTCATTAATAAGACGATATTATTTGATTTACTAATAATGCATAAAATTTATATAATAATAATAATGTATCAAATATAAATTTTTTTATGGTATATTTTATTATTTGCCTGAAAATTCCTTATGGCAAAAAAAAAAAGCGTATTTCTGTACCAAAATATAAAGCTTTGACAAATAATTGGAGCCAAAAAGGGTAACAAAAATGATGGCTAGCGTTGCACCCAAGAATATTATCCAATCATCAGGATTCACACGATTTTCCTCTCTGTGTCTGTCTGTCTGTCAGCCGTTTTATCTTTGATTCCATTTCCTTGGTGTTTGCCTTATAGGACTTAACGTCGACCTTTGTTTTGTAACTCATCCAAAAACACTTCAATTTCGTTACAGGTTTAATTTCCAGGCACCATTTTCCATGTCCTAACTATACTTAACAATTTCTTGGTATGTTCTCAGTCTACTTCTTTTTACTCTACATCTCTTCTTACTTGGTTTTAACTTCCTGTTCCAGTTTCAATTTGCCATTGTTAACCTATTTACAGTTGATGGGTAGTTAATAATCTTGAGTTTTGATATAAAAATGTATGCCAAGATTCTGTTTTACGGGAATTCCAGGCTTGTGTACGAGTACTTTATTTATTTATTTTTGTTTTGTTTTGGTTTGTCGATAGAATAGGTTAAAAATGGAGAGGAGAAGGTATGAAGATGGAGCTGCTGTTAATATGTATGGAGAAGGGATTCTTGATGGTAATTCTTCATTGAAGAAATCCCAGGAGAATTTTCCAGAGGTATAATTTTCCTACTGCCATGAAAACCCTCTTGTTTTTTTTATGCAAATTGGAATATATAATTTTTCAATTTTACTGACAAAGATGTCATTGTGGGATAACTCTGATGAGAAGCCTTCTTCAAGAGCAAGAGAGCTTCTTATGGCAAGAAGGAACATAAGTCGATATAAAGAGAGTAGAAGAGCTGCAGAATCAGAAAAGGTCAAAGCAGAATCTCAACTCTTCAGTGCAAGGAAAACAGTTAAGGATCTGGCTTCAATGATTGAGGAATCAAATTTCAAGGCTAAGGCAAGGATGAGAGATATTGAATCATTAAGGAAGAATAGAAACCTTGAACAGAAGGCATTGGCTGTCAGGAGTATTGGAAGTTATGGGTATGCAGAAGTGATGAGAGAATTGGAGTTGGTGAAACAAGAATTGAGTAAACTTAAGCTTGATATGGCTTTTCTTATGGGGGAGAAAGCAAGATCAGAGAAGGAATCTGAAGACTCAAGCTTTAGACTGTGGTCTAATGCTAGCTCTGTTGAAGCACTAAGGCAACAAATTGAGGCAGCCAATGAGGAACATGTGCTAGTTGAATTGGCCAGGATTGAGGCTTTGAAAGAAGTTGCAGAAATTGAAGCTCAAAGAGAAAAAGAAGGGGGTGAATTCTCGTTTAGTATGGAGCAAACAAAGAAGAAAATGAAGGACATAATTGAAGAGATTGATAACTCCAAAGGGTTGGAACAAAAACTGGCTCTCACTTTGTCTGATATCAATCTCTTACAAGATGAGCTAAAGCAAGTTAAAGAACTAGACAAAATGGTTCAGAGGGGTGATGGCTCGAAGCAACCAGATCACAATTTTCAAACTGTTGAGGAAGTGGAACCTTCATTTTCCTTGGAGTCAATCACAAAAGAGTTGAAGGCAGCTAAGAAAGAATTGGCTTCAATTAGAAAAGAAGGTTTCCAGTATATGTCCTCCATGGATATCATAAGAAATGAGCTGAAACATGTAACAGAAGATAAGGCACGGTTGAAGAAAACAGAAGAAAAGGCAGATTTGAAAGTTCAAAGTCTCAATTCAAAGATGCTCAGAGCCAAATCCAAGTTGGAAGCAGTAACTGCAGCTGAAGAAAAGGCTAAATCAATTGCGACCAATCTTTCCCTCACCCTTCAACAGTTAAGGACAGAAGCTGAGGCATCAAAGAAAGAGAAAGTGCTTATTACTGAAGACACTGCAACTATTAAGGCAGCAATCCACAAAACTGAGTCTGAAATAGACTTAACTGAGGAAAGATTGCAGGCGGCTGTGCAGGAACTTGAGGCAGTTAAGTCATCAGAAGCTTTAGCTCTAGAAAAGTTAAGATCTCTCATAGAGACGACAATGCAATCTAGAGCTTCAGCATCTAACCAGAGTTCCACAATCACTATCTCAAAATTTGAGTATGAGTATTTATCTAGACGTGCAGTTGGAGCTGAAGAAATTGCTGATAAAAAGGTTGCTGCAGCTCAGGCATGGATTGAGGCTTTAAAGGCTAGTGAAAGGGAGATATTGATGAAAACTGAAATAGCTCACAAAAATCTTAGAGAGATGAGAGTAGAGGAGGAGCATGGGGTATTTAGAAAGGAGAGATCACTTTCAGCAAAGAAAATGATAGAGAAAGAATTACACAATTGGAGACAGACTCGTGAGAAAAATGTGGTTGCACAAATCAGGCAATCACCTTCCCTTAGAAGATCCATGAAAAGCTATGGCAATTTGACCCCATCAGGAGGAGCAAAGTTCCATAAATCTGCATCACCTGCAACACGTGTGGGTGGATCAACTCCATTTATCATTAAGAAGAAAAGAAAGGTGATGCCAAATTTAGCCAAGTTCTTTAGAGGTAAGAAAGTTGACAAAGATGTGTAAGCTGCAGGTGAATCTTTGTGGTTCAAAAGGAAAATGTTGCATACTACAAGCATTTGATTCTGACAGTTATGGTGGTGTTTTCCCAATAACTGCTTGCTTTCCAAGTTTTATATGGCCTTGCTTCTTTTAACAAAAACTTGAATTTGGAAAGAGTGATTGAGGCATTTAGAAATGCAATCGTGGATGAGTTTATGTGAAACAGTCATGTAAATGAATGCAGACTATATGTCTGTAGCAAAGAATAACTGTTCAATCCCAAGTAATGGTTTTACATGTTCAGGTCCCCGCTATAATGTTTAATTGTTGATGTTTAACATGGTTGGTATTTGCTCTGTAGCAGTGACATGTTTACAGATGCCAGTTTCACAGAAATTTAAAGATAACCAGACGATACTCCTCCACAAAATCAAGGTAGCATGTGCAGTACTATCAATAAAAGAAGTCCTTCGGAATATTCTGCTTACTACAAACACATACTCAAATGTGAAGGTTTGCATAATTTATTTCACAATGTACATGCTATAAACAAACAGGTTAGATATAAGCATTAGTACTCTTGCTGACCATTAAGATATGAAAGTTAAAAATGATAAATGATTACAAAGCAGGACAGTGTTTAAGGCAGAGTTTTACAGTTTCAAGTACCATCTAATAGATTGATAAACTGTCCCTAAGGATTTTTCTTTTTTAATAAAGGAGGATGCAGCTTAGGAATTAAAAAAGGAATTGCAGGTACTGAGATGAACCCCATACCTGTTGAATGCCATTAGGGTGACTGCATGAACTAGCAAGGCTACACTCCAGGTTCAAGGAACTCTTTTTTTCTTCTTTTAAGTGTGCCAATAAATGCCTGAAAGTCTCAATACATAGCCAACTCCACAATCTATATACAACCAAAGTTGCTGGCTTAAGCAAAATGTTTCGTTCTTTGATTCTTTGAAATTCTCTTTTAAGGTTATTAGGGAAAGATAAATCATACATATAATAAGGCAGTGAAAAATCCAGTATTGAGATTGAAACATAAGCTAGTGGAAAACAAAACAAGGGTTCATGATGACATCAAATTACAGGAACTCTAGAATTAACGTAGAGAAAAGCTTTTCAGTTTCCTAAATTAAACCAAGTATTCTAGGAATCTGCCTGTACAATGTTACAGCTTCAGATAGAGCTTAGTTAATAGAATATAGCTATGAATCCTACAAGAAACATGTAACGCAATTTGTAGGACACCATTCCGTAAATGAGCAGCTGAAGCTAATATTCTAGAAGCAACCAAAACTTGTTCGACAGATTAGAGAAATTCCGACCAATAAACTTCACCTTGTACCATGTCCGAGAAAATTCACCTACAATTTTTTTTGCGATAATCATGCAATTAACTAATCACAACGAAAAATTATACAAGAATCTACTACTTAAAATGTGGGCTTTAAATAATTTGTTTGGACCATACAAAATGGTGAAATATAATTGATTGTAACTGATATGCTCACAAATGAAGCAAGCATAGATGGTAGACATTTAAAACTTCAAAAACTCAAACAGGTAATATCAGAATTATAAGTTTAGACTTTAGAAGGAAGAGTTAACAGGAAATTACAGTAATCTCAATCATGTTCCATACTTTCTGAGTCTCCTTTGTAAAGCTTTAAAAAATGTTTTTATAGTGAGCTTAATGTAGACTTGTCAATGATCGGACAAAGATAAATTGAATTTAAATTTGGTTCGATTAGTTTAGAATATTTGAATATGTTTAAATATATTTTAAATTTTAAATTAAATAAAAATATTTTTTGTTAATAAAATAATTTTTTTAATTAAGTTTGAATTTAAAAAATTATATCTAAAATTCGGCTTGAGTTAAACTTGATCGTTTGAGATTATTTGCTAACAATAATTGTTTAGCTTTTAATGAATTAAAATAAAAATTAAAAAAATCATTGAATATGTAAAAATTACAAAGTCGAGTTTTTTTTTAATCTCATGAAATTGTTATTAATTGATATCAATAATTTACCATGTAAAATAATTTATTAATAGGCTTAAATAAAATAAAAAGATAAATAAATATATCCACAATTATATAATTTATTAATAAAGTATCAAACTGCCATTTCAATAATAAAAAATAATTTATTATAATCTCAAGTACTAAAAGAATAAAGAAAAAGATAATATTTTAAGATGACATATGTATTATGCCATTCTTTCATCATTTTGGTGAAAGTTACACAAGGGTCCAATTCAAATGAAAAACTTCAAGTACTAATTATGAATTTTGGGCAAAAAGAAGTTCTCATAAATACTTAGAAGGTGCTTTATAAAGTAAATTACAATCATGTGAAAAAACTTAATTACTGATCATCAAGAGCAAGTGGGGCTGAAAAAAAAAAAAAACATGAAATCGAACCTGCTTTAATTTGTGAATTGTGATGAAAGCTTGAAGTTTAGTTAGTCTTTTCGAACATTATAATCCAAACAGTCCCAAAATCTAGCCATGTGATTGTAGACAATGCGTTCCATTTGTTCTTAACTGGGACCATGTGTGGGGTCATGTCCTAGTCAATTTGCTTAAAGCTGGAGTGTTGCTGAGCCATGGAAGAAAAAGTGAAAGTCATGAAGGAAGTCGTCCCTACCAAAGACTACCATGCTATCAAGTTATAAAGCACATTCAGCGGCATTTTCATGGAGCTATCATCGCCTCTAATCGCGCTGGCCTCTGGATTTGTCAACCATTTCTTGACTACTTTGATCAAATGAGTAATATGTCACTTGAAAATCTGTTAATTAACGTGACAATCGTTTTAACATTTCACTATAATTTACGGACTATAATTTACATTCGCTACATTAACCATATGAAAATTAATAAAGCTCAAGTACTTCATCGGTTTTGAGCAGCAGCATATAAACCCATGCACATGAAACTTGCTTTTTTTTCTGTAAATCTCCCAAAACCATTCCTTTACCTGAGATGAATTCGCCATTGCTTTTATTGATTCTCCTTGTATGCATCCACACGGCTCACCTAGGTGCTCTAAATGATGAAGGTCATGCTCTTCTATCCTTCAAACAGTCCCTGGAAAACAGCGCAGAAGGCTATCTGATCAACTGGAACTCATCAGATGTGAATCCATGCTCGTGGCATGGAGTTACATGCAGAAAAGAAAAAGTTATTGCTGTCATCATTCCAGATATGAGACTAGTTGGTTTTCTGTCTCCTGCGCTTGGAGAGCTTTCTGCAATTCGTCATGTTAACCTTGAGAACAACTCGTTTCGTGGAAGCTTACCTATCGAGCTCTTCAATGCAACTTGGCTGAAGAGATTGGTCCTTTCAGGTAATTCATTATCTGGACCTCTTCCACCTGAGGTAGGGAACCTCAGGAACCTACAAACCTTGGATCTTTCACAAAATTCATTCAATGGCTCAATACCTTCATCTATAGTTCAGTGCAGGAAACTAACCACACTTGTTCTCAGTCAAAATAATTTTACTGGCTCTCTCCCTGAAGGACTTGGAAACAGTTTGATTAGCCTTCAGAAGCTCAATCTTTCTTACAACAGCTTAGGCAGTTCAATCCCCAGTGATATTGGAAACTTGTCAGATTTGCATTTTACACTTGATCTATCTCACAATTTCTTCAATGGTACTATTCCAGCTAGCCTGGGAAACCTCGCTGAGAAAGTCTATATCGATCTCAGTTACAATAATCTTAGTGGTCCTATACCTGGGGATCTATTAAATGCAGGACCAACAGCTTTCATAGGCAACCTTTTGCTTTGCGGATTACCATTGAATATTTCATGTCCCCCAGGCATTCCAAATGAAAATCCTCAATCAGCATTTCATTACCCATCCCAGAGTTCAGGTGGAAGTTCCATAAAGAGAGGGAAAGAAAGTCACTTCAGTTCATTGCAGAAGATAAAAACTATTGCAGGTGTGATGGTAGCCGTCTGCCTCATTGGGTTCTTGTTCTCTTATTGGTACAAGAAGGCCTCTGTCTGTAGAGGAGTTCAAAATGTCACTGGCTATCGTCTTGAAGAGAAACTGACGATTGGGAGGGACATTTTCTGCTTTGCCAAAAAAGACATTGACACTCTATCAGAAAATATGGAGCAGTGCGACTTTGTGCCATTGGACTCACAGGTCAACTTTGATCTAGAGCAACTTCTTAAAGCATCTGCTTTTCTTCTGGGTAAGAGTGCAGGTGGGATTCTGTATAAAGTGGTGCTTGACAATGGACAAACTTTAGCAGTGAGAAGATTGGGGGATGGAGGTGGGCAAAGACTCAAGGAGTTTCAAACTGAAGTAGAAGCAATTGGAAAAATAAGGCATCCTAACATAGTTAATCTTCGAGCTTATTGCTGTTCTGATGATGAGAAGCTGCTTATCTATGATTACATAACCAATGGAGACCTTACTGCAGCAATTCATGGTAAATTACTAATTTCTCTTTGGAAACCAAAAGTTACATACTTTAAAGTGTTCACAACTACTCTTCATTTTCTCTAGATTTGTCTTCTATGCAAAATGTTTTCCATGTTGTTCTAGGAGTTTCCATGCTAATCATTCTAATTTTCAAACTATAACCAGGAAAAGCTGGAATCATACCTTTTAGACCCCTTTCATGGTCTCTTCGAGTAAAAATCATGAAAGGAATAGCCAAAGGCTTGGCTTTTTTACATGAATTCAGTCCAAAAAGGTATGTCCATGGAAATCTGAAGCCAAGCAATATTCTTCTTGGAGAGGATATGGAGCCTCATATTTCTGACTTTGGGCTTGGCCGCCTTGCCAACATAGCCGAGGAATCACCAGAGTTTCAGGTAGAACAGATGGCAATTTGGACATCACATCAGAGTTCTCCGTATGAGTTTACAACAATAAATTCTTCCCCAAATGGATCATACTATCAAGCTCCTGAAGCCTCAAAAGACACAAAGCCATCACAGAAATGGGATGTTTACTCATTTGGAGTAATTTTACTGGAAATGATCTCTGGAAAGTTGCCAAGCATTCAGGTAGGACCTTTGGAGATGGATCTGGTTCAATGGGTTCAACTCAGCATTGAAGAAAGAAAGCCACTCTCTTCTATCACAGATCCCTCCTTAGCTCATAATTGGGGTGAACAAGACAATATAACTGCCATATTAAAAATTGCATTAGCCTGCATTCATAAGAGTCCTGATCGGAGACCTACAATGAGGTATGTAAGTTATAGCTTTGAGAAATTGAACTCATACTCCTGAGAGTTCATGATAGCTAAAATCTATTCGTTCGGTCCACTAAACCCTCAGGTAGATCTAAGAACAGAGATAGCTGACTTGTTTTTGGAACACATTTTCGGATGTGTCAAGATAACGAGTCTTTCCTCAGTCAAATTTCAATATACATAAAAGATTCAACATGCTGTTATTCATTTAATTTCTCTTAGAAGAATGGATTCATCACTTACTATGAATGTTACAACATGTAGCAGAATAAAAATATTTATTTCTTAATGTCTGAGTTCATTGAGCTGAAGCAAAATGGATTTCACCAGCAGCAACCAGTTGAATTCTACCTTCTCTCATATTGACAATGTTTCCTTCTACCTTTAATGACATGTTTGATCATATTTTTCGTTGCCTCACAATAATAGCTGGTTAGCATCAAGAATTATTATAACTACTACCAGCATTCTGTCAGTTTACCTTCATTGAATGCTTTTTTGACAAAAAAATCAGATAAAATCAAGTAATCTGTTCAGGTCCAACACCTTTTAGATTGTCAAAAGTAAAAGAGTGTTTGTACTGTTGATTGTGACATTAAGATTAACATTTTCACTCCACATTTTCTGTAGTCTAATTTCTAAAATTAGTCTCAAAATCATGGAGAGCAAATTTCAAAAAAGAAAAAACAAAATTGACATAAAAAGTGCATATCAGGAATGCAAATTCAAGCAAGCCAAGTGGTCTACATTGACTATGATAGAACTATTCAAAGCTTTAAAGAGTGTCAAAGACCGAAAATCATATCAAACACTTACAAGGGTAATCTAAAATTTTATCAGTGAGTGAAACTGCAAAGTTTAAAGACAGTGATCAAGGACAAGAACCTCGATATAAACAAACAGGCAAAGCAGTGTATCATGCAATCCTCCCATATGCTTGTGCCATTTGTAACGATACACATTCTGTGAATTACCAAATACAAATAAACAGCATTCAGATGCACTTGATTCATGAAGAGAAATACCGGATCAAACAAGACAGGATCCCTACAGCTAGTTTGTTGCGTTTATAGAAAAGCTTGCAACAGATACATTACTCTCTTCAGGACAAAGTGCCATCAACCAAACCTATTAGTAATGCTGATTTTGAATTACTAAAGTCAGAATCTTTATAAGAAATTGCAGCTTGAGCAAGGCCAATTAGAGAGTGCTCTATAGTCTATACACACAGAGCAAAGTTAATTATCCTATAGTAATGTGCAGCTTACATCATAAGCAGCATTAAGAGTTACTTTTGATTCAGGGTCTTTAACTCCCATAGATCAAACTGATTCAAGTGGTGGCTGCAGCATATCTGCTGGGAATGAGCAAGGGACTATAAAAGTATCTTGAGTATAATAACTCCAATTTATGTTGCTTATTTAGGTTACACTGCAAAAATCAGTTTAACACTGGTTATTAATCATTTTTTTTTGGGTTGTTTTACCTTAGAGTAGATAAGTGTCAATTATCAGGGTTGAAGTAGATAAATGTCAATCATCAGGGCATTTATCATAACCAAAGGTTCTATTTCTCTGAAGGGGATGCTTGTACCCTCGTTTGCTAATATTAAATAGTTATTATTAAAAATAACAATTCTTGAAAAAATTTTAATTTATAGCTTTGTTTAAAGTCTCAAATTTTATATAAATTAAATTTTTTTAAAATTTTAAAAGCAAAATACCTAACGTTTGCTTTTACTTCAAGTAAACACTTTTATAAACAAGCCAAACACCGCTTAAACTTGCTGCATGTGACCAAACGCAACCCAAAGCTTATGGGAAGCCTATATAAACCATAGCTTTGTTCTTTTTCTCTCGCCATCCCAACCCGAAAGCTTAACCCTCAAAGCTTTCATAACTCTCAAATCTCATTCATATCTGTCGACGTCAGGAAGAAAAGCAACAACAGTGCATCACCAGGAATTTACTGCTGGTCCTGAAAGCTGTAAGAGCTCTCTCCACACCCTCCCTAAACTAAAATTTTTAAGTAAAATTTGTTGCATTATTGCAGATATAAGGCTTCTCTGTTTTGGGATAGAATAGTCTAGTTATGAATCAAACATTGATGGCAATAATGGGATTTCTGGTTTTTCTTTTTGTCGTCTGTGAAGACAACAAAAAAAGGGGTTTAACGTTGTAGATATTTGGTCTGAGAAATAGTATTTGATGATGAATGTTAGATGAATTTGTTGGTTTGCTTTAATTTTCTATTCTGTTTTTTCTTTTATTTTCTTTTCAATGAGTTTGAGTTACATGCATGTAGTTTTTTTTTTTTTTTTACAATTATTTACTATATTTATTTGTTTATTAATTTTTATCATATTAGAACAGATGGGCAGACGTAGGATGGAGATGAAATTGATAGAGAATGAGAAAGCTCGAAAGAAGGTTTTTGAAAAAAGAAGGAATAATTTGTTAAAGAAGGCCAAAGAGTTATCAATTCTTTGTGATATTAAGATATTGCTCATTATCTATGAACTAGATAAACAGAGACCACAGATTTGGCCTGGTAATGAAGAGGAAGCTGAACAAATCATCAATAGGTTCAAGCAGCAGCTGGTTAGAGGTGACTGGAAAACAGCTTGTGAATCTTTTTCAAGTAAGAAGAACAGATTTGATGGGAAATTTGCTATATCAGATTATAAGAGTATGATCAATCACTGCTCTAAGAATGAGCTTCAAAAGTTGTGTTATCAATTGGATGGTAAGATTGCTGCTGTGATGAATGCAATAAAATCAAAACAGGTCCTGACTGAAGGACCTAGATCACCAAAGATCTTGCCAGACAGTCAAGGAATAGGATTCTTAGACAAGGAGAGGGGAAAAGAAGTTGTTATCTACCAAGAGCCTGTTCATGATATCCAACGAGGTCAGAGTTTTCAGATGCTTTCCCATAACCCAAAATTCATGGAAAGTCCAATGATGATGACCACGATGATGCAAAATGGTATCAGCTATCCTGAATTTGATGGTAGTTCCAGTAATAGTAGTAATATTCCTTACGTTCCGTTGCCAATTGATTATGTCCATCCATCTTGGATGCCACCAGCTTACATTGATCCTAATTTCTCGATGAGCTACTATGATCCAAACAGCTACCATATTGCACCAGGCCTCCATTACCCAATGGTGCCAAGTTTTCCCTCTGAGTGGAATGCTTCAGACCAACCATTTTTTTTGTATTAGCCATCAAAGTGTCCAGAGCCTTGTTTTTGTGGTTAAAGACAAATAAATATATTTTTTATGCTTGATTGATTTCTAGAAATACAATATAGAATTGATATTCTTGGGTAGCTGACGTTTTATTTTCATTAACAACTTGTATATTGTTGTCCTAGTCTCTTGTATATGCTTTTTTTCCTCTTAGTCGAAGCAATAAGTTGATGATTAGTTGATGAGAAAACAAGTTAGAAAACCATGAGAACAACAGACGAATTGTAAAAATCAAAGCCAAAAGCAGCTAGGATTGGAAAGATTCAAAACTAAAACCGTAACCAATCCCTTGTCCAAATCCAAACCCAAGCCCAAGCCTACAACAGCTCCAACCCCAAACACAATTTTCAAAAGGCTCCAAGGCCACGCACCAAACCCAACTCCCCCAACAAAACCAAACCCAACTCCAATGCCACAATCAACCCCAGCACCGGCCCCAGGGCCTGATACATTCTCCTCTAATTTCTAGTGGCTTTGACGGAGGAAATCTGACCGTGGAAATCGTTTGCCTTTGTTTTTCATTTTTGTGTTTCCTTTCCATTTCCATAAGGAATTTGTGTCTTTGGATTTGGTTTTCATGGGATTTGAGCTAAGGGAAGTGCAGAGTGGAAAGGAGGTAACTTTATCAGTTGTGTTGGATAATATAAATGTCTGTGCATTTGTATTCCCAGTTGTCGGCTTCTTTAGTTTCTTATTTGAACTTTGAAGCTATATGAATCCAAAGTATTGGGTGGCTCACAAATCCACGTTTTTCAAAAATTTTGTTTTAAAATATTATCAATGTCCCTTAATTAACTCCGCTGTGTGTTGTCATCCCAGTCCGAATAAAGAAAGAAGGTTGCGATAAGACGTTAATTAATATAAAATATAATAAAATTATGATGAAAGATCGTAATAAAATTTTTTTATTTGATTTTTTATATAATCGATTTTAGAGTACGAGATAGAAGATTTAGTAAATTGTTGTTATTGTATTAATGGTCATTAATTATAATGAAATATTTAAGATAATATTTTAATTTTAAAAATTTTAAAAATTATTTAAATTATAAATTTATTAATTAATAAGATATTTAAAAAATTATTTATTTATCATGTATTATTATTTAAAATTAATCAAGTTAGGATAAATATAATATTTATTCACAAATCTATAATTCATCTGTTTCATTAGATATTTTTAAAATTTAAATATTAGATTTAATAATTTATTTTAATTTAAAAATTATTTATAATATTAAATTTTTAATATAAATATGCATTTTTTTGTGATATATAATGTTAATTTTTATTTATTTAGGTTCCGTATGATTCCAACTTTAGCTTTTTTAATAAAAAATAAATAAAAAACAAAAATACCAATCAAATGAATTTTTTTTTTATAAAAAATAGTTCTTAAAGTTAAAAAAGCAGGATTATGAAAAGTTATTGTCTATGAACCGGGTTTAAACAATTTCAGGTTAACCCACTTGCACGTGGGACATGCAACTTCGAACTTACTTTTGATTCTTCGCAAGTAAATCTATATAAATAATTAAAATTATTTTTTATTTATAATTTACATAGCGACATTAATTTTATCTTAAAGAATAATTTAAAGAGGATTTTTCAGAGTTAATGTTTATATTTGAAGTTAAAATTATCTTTGTCATATATTAAAAAGTTACCAACTCATATGTTTTTGCTTTGATTTTTTTTTTTGTTTTTGTCATTTTCTTTTTAATTTTAATTTTTTGTTATTTTAATTACTTGAAAATATAAAAAACTAAAAATAAGGATTAGACAAATAAATTTATAATTTTTTATAATTATTTTTATTTATTTGTATCATGTGAATTTTATAAATTTTTTCAAATAAATAAAAATTACTCCAATGATGAAATTAAAAAAAAAATTGTTATCAAAAGAATTGGATAGATTTTGGAAATATTTTAATAAAATTTTTTATTTTTTATTTTTAATAAATTATTTAGTAAAAAATAAATGTTGGTAAAAGAAATATAAAAATAAATAATTTTTTTTTCTATAAAATATTAAATTAATCTGATAATAGAACCTTTTTAAATGGTTATATGGATTTTTTTGAATAAATTTTTTTAAAATTTTATCATAATATTGTAGAAAACCTAATTATTTTTAATACTTTAACTAATGAAATTTAACTAAGAATAAAATACCATTTAGCTAAGATCCTTTTAAGATAATATAAAATTAATTAATAATATCTTAAATTGAAGTTGTGAGGCTGTTAATGCTTTCTACATGTAAATCAATTAATAACATACAGTAAAAGTTATCTCTAACTAAGTGAGAACAACTTTCAATTGAATTGTGAGTTATCAAATTGGTCTATATTTGTCAAATATCTATTGATTGATAAAGAAGTGAAATAAGTTATTGAATTTGGTGGGTAATGGATTTTGATTGGATTGAGAAATAGTGAGATGTGGTTTAATTGGATTTAGAAAAAAGAATGTGATTGTTTATTTTATGTAAGTTTGTAATTGGATGAGATTTTTATGGGATTTGAATTTTTATAAATTTTAATTAATAAAATTAAAAATAAAAAACATAATAAATATAAAAATAAAAATAAAATATATAAAAACGAAAAATAAAAATTAAGTTACTTTTCTTATTTTTCGTGTTTTTGATTTTTTCCAAAAAATTTCTATTTTACAATAAATTGAGAGGGAAAGAAAGTCACTCCAGTTCATTGCAGGAGATAAAAACTATTGTAGGTGTGATGGTAGGCGTCTGCCTCGTTGGGTTCTTGTTCTCTTATCGGTACAAGAAGGCCTTGTCTGTAAAGGAGTTCAAAAAGTCACTAGCTATCGTCTTGAAGAGAAACTGACGATTGGGAGCGACATTTTCTGCTTTGCCAAAAAAGACATTGACACTCTATCAGAAAATATGGAGCAGTGCAACTTTGTGCCATTGGACTCACAGATCAACTTTGATCTGGGGCAACTTCTTAAAGCATCTGCTTTTCTTCTGGGTAAGAGTGCAAGTGGGATTCTGTATAAAGTGGTGCTTGACAATGGACAAACTTTAGCAGTGAGAAGACTGGGGGATGGAGGTGGGCAAAGACTCAAGGAGTTTCAAACTGAAGTAGAAGCAATTGGAAAAATAAGGCATCCTAACATAGTTAATCTTCGAGCTTATTGCTGTTCTAATGATGGGAAGCTGCTCATCTATGATTACGTAACCAATGGAGACCTTACTGCAGCAATTCATGGTAAATTACTAATTTCTCTTTGGAAACCAAAAGTTACATACTTTAAAGTGTTCACAACTACTCTTCATTTTCTCTAGATTTGTCTTCTATGCAAAATGTTTTCCATGTTGTTCTAGGAGTTTCCATGCTAATCATTCTAATTTTCAAACTATAACCAGGAAAAGCGGAATCATACCCTTTAGACCTCTTTCATGGTCTCTTCGAGTAAAAGTATGAAAGGAATAGCCAAAGGATTGGCTTTTTTACATGAATTCAGTCCAAAAAGGTATGTCCATGGAAATCTGAAGCCAAGCAATATTCTTCTTGGAGAGGATATGGAGCCTCATATTTCTGACTTTGGGCTTGGCCGCCTTGCCAACATAGCCGAGGAATCACCAGAGTTTCAGGTAGAACAGATGGCCATTTGGACATCACAGCAGAATTCTCCATATGAGTTTACAACAATAAATTCTTCCCCAAATGGATCATACTATCAAGCTCCTGAAGCCTCAAAAGACATAAAGCCATCACAGAAATGGGATGTTTACTCATTTGGAGTGATTTTACTGGAAATGATTTCTGGAAAGTTGCCAAGCATTCAGGTAGGGCCTTTGGAGATGGATCTGGTTCAATGGGTTCAACTCAGCATTGAGGAAAGAAAGCCACTCTCTTCTATCATAGATCCCTCCTTAGCTCATAATTGGGGTGAAGAAGAAAATATAACTGCCATACTAAAAATTGCATTAGCCTGCATTCATAAGAGTCCTGATAGGAGACCTACAATGAGGTATGTAAGTTATAGCTTTGAGAAATTGAACTCATACTCTTGAGAGTTCATGATAGTTAAAACCTAAACGTTCCGTCCACTAAACCCTCAAGTAGATCTAAGAACAGAGATAGCTGACTTGTTTTTGGAACACATTTTCGGATGTGTCAAGATAACAAGTCATTCCTCAGGCAAATTTCAATATACATAAAAGATTCAACATGCTGTTATTCATTTAATTTCTCTTAGAAGAATGGATTCATCACTTACTGTGAATGTTACAACATGCAGCAGAATAAAAATATTTATTTCTAAATGTCTTAGTTCATTGAGCTGAAGCAAAATGGATTTCTCCAGCAGCAACCAGTTGAAATTCTACCTTCTCTCATATTGACAATGTTTCCTTCTACCTTTAATGACATGTTTGGTCATATTTTTTGTTGCCCCACGATAATAACTGGTTAGCATCAAGAACTATTATAACTACTACCAGCAGTCTGTCAGTTTACCTTTATTGGATGCTTTTTCGACAAAAAAAATTAGCTAAAATCAAGTAATCTGTTCCGGTCCAACACCTTTTAGATTGTCAAAAGTAAAAGAGTGTTTGTACTGTGGATTGTGACATTAAGATTTCACTCCACATTTCCTTTAGTCTAATTTCTAAAATTAGTCTCACAATCATGGAGAGCAAATTTCAAAAAATACAAAATTCACCTAAAAAGTGCATATCAGGAATGCAAATTCAAGCAAGCCAAGAGGTCTACATGGACTATGATATAGCTATTCAAATCTTTAAAGAGCGTTAAAGACCGAAAATCGTATCAAATACTTGAAAGGGTAATCTAAAATTTTTTCAGTGAGTGGAACTGCGAAGTTTAAAGACAGTGATCAAAGACAAGAACCTTGATATAAACGGGCAGGCAAAAGTAGTGTATCATGCAATCCTCCCATATGCCTGTGTCATTTGTAACGATACACATTCTGTAAATGACCAAATACAAACAAACAGCATTCAGATGCACTTGATTCATGAAGGGAAATACCGTATCAAACATGGCAGGATCCCTACAGCTAGTTTGTTGAGTTCATAGAAAAGCTTGCAACAGATACATTACTCTCATCAGGACAAAGTGCTATCAACCAAACCTATTAGTAATGCTGGTTTTTAATTACTAAAGTCAGAAACTCTATAAGAAATTACAGTGTGAGCAAGGCCAATTAGGGAATGCTCTATAGTCTATACACACAGAGCAAAGTTAATTATCGTATGGTAATATGCAGCTTACATCATAAGCAGCATGAAGAGATACTTTTGATTCAGTATCTTTAGCTCCTATAGATCAAACTGATTCAAGTGGTGGCTGCAGCATATCTGCTGGGAATGAGCGAGGGACTATAACAGTATCTTGAGTATAACAACTCCAATTTATGTTGCTTATTTAGGTTACACAGCAAAAATCAGTTTAACACTAGGTTATCAATCATTTCTTTGGATTGTTTTACCCTAGAGTAGATAAGTGTCAATTATCAGGGTTGAAGTAGATAAGTGTCAATTATCAGTGTTGGGATATTAATCCATAGAGAAGCAAGTAACAATGACAAAAATGATACTTACCCACACAATAGTTTCAGCAAGTAGGACCTCTCTCATGTAGAGTTGCATAGGCTTTAGTGGTGAAAGCAGCAAATGCAGATGACATGAAAAAGGTTGTTTGATTCCCATCTCCAGAAGAAATCCACACAATAGTCTTTAGGCGCCTTAAACCTTGTAGAATGTATATAAAAGTCACTCATTTAGCTCCTTAGTGATCACATAGGCCTGGGGTCTCAAGTATAAATAGAGGTGCCCATCCTCATAGGAACAACACACAAGAGCTAGTGAACTTGTGAACCAACAAAGCTACTCAAAGCACAATTGTCCATAAGCCACATTGTTCCAGCAATAGAAAGGATCTTGTATTCGTTCACCAATGCCTTCTTAGTGTGCTATAGTGTTCGATTGTCTCTAAGACCCAATTAGTCCTTGGTGAGTGGGACACTCACTCAACCTAGTTAGAGGCTAACTAGCAGTTTTCCACCTAAGACGGCATCATTGCAAGGCTTAAAATCGAAACACATGACAATTGCTTAGCCAAGATAAGTGTCAGCTAAAATGACGAGAACACACAGCTGTAGATCCACAATCACGATAACAAGAACAACTGTCAAAATCATGGTAGATGTAGAGGTTGGTAATCCTCAAAAGAGACTAGCAATCAATAAACTGATACAAGGGTAACCATTTGCACCATTAGTGGACCTTTAATAAACTCTACACGCAAACATTGCAAATAATGATTTTAATTTGAATAGTTAAAAACATATAAACCAAATTATATTTCTTTTAGAAAATATTCACAGTTAGAATTATCTAATTGTACTTTTAGAAAAGGAATAGGCAAATATTTAACATTTATAAAGAAAATCTTCATTCTTTTACTAATATTATATAACCAAAAGTTTTATTTCTTTGAAAAAAGATATTTGTACTTTCGTTTGTTAATATTAAATACTTATTATTAAAAATAACAATTCTTGAAAAAATTTAAATTTATATCTTTGTTTAGAATCTCAGATGTACTTTTTATATAAATTAAATTTTTTTTTTAAATTTTAAAAGCTAATACCTAACTTTTGCTTTTTCTTCAAGTAAACACTTTTATAAACGAGCCAAACACCGCTTAAGCTTTGGGCTTCTGACCAAACCCAACCCAAAGCTTATGGGAAGCCTTTATAAAAAAGGTAATGGCACACTCTTCCCTGCTCCTGTTTTCCTCTGTTTCTACTCTCTCCCGTAGCTTTGTTCTTTTTCTCTCGCCATCCCAACCCGAAAGCTTAACCCTCGAAGCTTTCCTAGCTCTCAAATCTCATTCATATCTCTCAACATCAGGAAGAAGAGCAACAACAGTGCATTAACAGGAATTTACTGCTGGTCCTGAAAGCTGTAAGAGCTCTCTCCACACCACCCCTAAACTAAAATTTTGAAGTAAAATTTGCTGCATTCTTGTAGATATAAGGCTTCTCTCTGTTTTGGGATAGAATAAAACATTGATGGCAACAATGGGTTTTCTTGTTTTTCTTTTTGTCGTCTGTGAAGACAACAAAAAAAGGGTTTTAACATTGTAGATATTTGGTCTGAAAATTAGTATTTGATGATGAATGTTAGATGAATTTATTGGTTTGCTTTAATTTTCTATTCTGTTTTTTCTTTTGTTTTCTTTTATTTTCTTTTCAATATGAGTTTGACTTACATGCATGTAGTCTTTTTTTACAATTATTTACTATATTTATTTATTTATTAATTAATTTTTATCATATTAGAACAGATGGGCAGACGTAGTATGGAGATGAAATTGATAGAGAATGAGAAGGCTCGAAAGAAGGTTTTTGAAAAAAGAAGGAATAGTTTGTTAAAGAAGGCCAAAGAGTTATCAATTCTTTGTGATATTAAGATATTGCTCATTATCTATGAACTAGATAAACAGAAAACTGAGATTTGGCCTGGTAATGATGAGGAAGCTGAACAAATCATCAACAGGTTCAAGCAGCAGCTTGTTAGAGATGAATGCAAAACAGCTTGTGATTCTTTTTCAAGTAAGAAGGAAAGATTTGATGGGAAATTTGCTATATCTGATCATAAGTGTATGATCAATCTCTTCTCTAAGAATGAGCTTCAAAAGTTGTGTTATGAATTGGATGGTAAGATTGCTGCTGTGATGAATGCAATAAAATCAAAACAGGTCCTGACTGAAGGACCTAGATCACCAAAGATCTTGCCAGACAGTCAAGGAATAGGATTCTTAGACAGGGAGAGGGGAAAAGAAGTTGTTATCTACCAAGATCCTGTTCATGATATCCAACAAAGTCAGAGTTTTCAGATGCTTTCCCATAACCCAAAATTCATGGAAAGTCCAATGATGATGACGACGATGATGCAGAATGGTATCAGCTATCCTGAATTTTATGGTAATTCCAGTAGTAGTAGTAATATTCCTTATGTTCCGTTGCCAATTGATTATGTCCATCCATCTTGGATGCCACCAGCTTACATTGATTCTACTTTCTCGATGAGCTATTATGATCCAACCAGCTACCATATTCCACCATGCCTTCATTACCCAATGGTGCCAAGTTTTCCCTCTGAGTGGAATGCTTCAGACTAACAATTTTTTTTTTTTTTTTGTATTAGCCATCAAAGTGTCCAGAACCTTGTTTTAGTGGTTAAAGACAAATAAATATATTTTTTATGTTTGATTGATTTCTAGAAATACAGTATAGAATTGATATTTTTGGGTAGCCGACATTTTATTTTCATTAACAACTTTTATATTGTTGTTCTAGTCTCTTGTACATGCTCTTTTTCCTCTTAGTCAAAGGAATAAGTTGATAAATAGTTGATGAGAAAACAAGTTAGGAAACCGTGAGAACAACAGACGAATTGTAAAAATCAAAGCCAAAAACAGTTACGTTCGCTCAGTCGTGTGCGTGTGTGTGTGTGTGTATATATATATATATATATATAATATGAAAGAAAAACTACATATGTTGACAATATATCAAACACCTGGACTGCAATTTTGATCAAAAACCAAAATTTGACTCTTATCGTTAATTAGTTTTGGATGCTTATCATCGCACTAATGAATTAAAAAAAAATCTAAAAAATTAATGTTACGAATGGTATTTAAATTATAATAAAATCATATATCATATATAATATATAATATATAATATTATATTATAAGATATATAGTTATCTAATAAAATTTGTTTACAGATACTTAGGTGAATGGTTTATTTGTTTGATATGAAATAAATATATTTTAAATAATTAATAGTTAATTATCTAAATATATATTATATTTTAAACCAAGTGTTGATCTAATTTATAATTCACAAATTAAAGAATCTAAAAGGATAAATATTTTAAATTTAAAAAAAAAATGAAGAAACAAATTCAAAATTAAATCAGGAAATAAAAATTTAAACTTTAAAATGTCAAAAAATATTTTTATCTTAATAAATTCCCTCATAATCTTTTATTTTTTAAATTTCTTTAAAATTGAAATATAATATTACTTTTTATGTTGTTTAAATTTGAAATACATTTATCAATTTAAATTAAATAAAATTTACTTCAAAACTCTATTCTTAATTATAAAAAAAATAAAAACTTTGTGCATCGCATGGGTTAAAAGCTAGTATTCTATATATTACCTGAATTTTAAAAATTTATAATGTAATATATAAATTATAAATATGTTAATTATCATAAAGATATGATTGTTTGTCTGTCATGTATCATAATTTAAAATTAATCATATTAGGGGTAAATACCATACTAGTTATAGATTTATAGTTCAATTATATAAAAAAATTTTAAAATTTAAGTATCATATTAAATATTTCATTATAATTTAAGGTTTATTTATGACATTAATCCTAATCTAAAATTAACACCATAGAAGTAACATGATTCTAATATTAATAGTCATTTTGTCTATACCTAGTAATTTGTGTTATCATGTAGTGTTTCATGTAAAAATGATTTCAAACATGACACAAATAATATTTACCCCACGATACAAATACTTAAATGTTATGAATAATCTAAGTATGAATATGATACATTTATTATGTGTTATACATGATATGACATGATTAATATGTTTAAAATTTATTTATTTAACATAACTTAAGTAATATGACATGAAACGATTAATATGATTAAATACGAATAATATAACACGATTACTCCATTTATTTAAACAAAAATATATCATTTAAATTAGTATTTAAATAACAACGTAAAAATTAAAATTTTATAATTTATTTAAATATCAAAATAATATGATAAATACAATTATTAATTTATTTAAGAAATAAATTAAAATAATTTTTATAATTTATATGTTATATATACTTTCATAAACAGTATTGTAATTTAAGCGTATTATTACTGTTTGATATAAATATTATTTATATTTTAATCATATTGACACAATTAAGATACACTAAATTATTTTTTATATTATTTTTATATCATATTATCGTATCTTATTTAAAATTATCATATTTAATTTCATCAATTACAAGAAAGAACTAAGATTAAACCATACTTTCCTGCCAAAGAGTAGGAGAAGTAGGATTGGAAAGATTCTAAACTAAAACTATAACCAATGCCCAAACCTACAACCAGCTCCAACCCCAAACACAAGCTTCAAATGGTTCCAAGGCCACGCACCAAACCCAACTCCCCCAACAAAACCGAAATGCCCACCAATTCAACCCCTTCATTTTTTAGTTCGAACTCGATTCATGATTAAAATCGAGCTACTCGAACTCGTTTGATTAAGCTTAATTAATATGTTAAAATAAGTTCGATTTTTATATTCGACAAGAGCTCGATTATTTATGCTCGAGCTTGAACTTAAAATATTTTATTTATTAAAATTAAAAAAAATTTAAATATAAAAGCTCGATTAGACTCACGAGTTATTCTAGTCGGGTATACGAATATTTGAACTCGGCTCGATCGATAAGTCGAGCTACTCGAGCTTGAGCTCGACTCGATAATAATCGAACCGGATTCAAATTTTATTCGAATCGAACAAAAGTAACTTGTGAGTATTAATGTATCCTTTATACCTCTACCCAACACTGCCCCAAGGGCCTAACGCATTCTCCTCTACTTTCTAGCAGCTTTCACGGAGGAAATCTAACAGTGGAAATCGTTTGCCTTTCTTTTTCTTCTTTGTGTTTCCTTTCCATTTCCATAAGGAATTTGTGTCTTTGGATTTGGTTTTCATGGGATTTGAGCTAAGGAAAGTGCAGAGTGGAAAGGAGGTAACTTTATCAGTTGTGTTGGATAATATAAATGTCTGTGCATTTGTATTCCCAGTTGTCGGCTTCTTTATTTTCTTATTTGAACTTTGAAGCTATGAATCCAAAGTATTGGGTGGCTCACAAATCCAAGTTTTTCAATTTTTTTTTATAATATTATCAATGTCCCTTAATTAACTCCGGCTGTGTTGTCATACCGGTTCGGATAAAAGAAGAAGGTTGTGATGGGTTAATATTCAATATAAAACATAATCAAATAATGATAAATATCAAAATAAAAATTCTTTTATTTGATTTTTCATATAATCAATCTTAAATATAAGATAAAAGATTTAGTGTGTTGTTATTATTGTATCAACGTCTCTTAGTTATAACAAAATATTTAAGATAATATTTTAATTTTAAATATTTTTAAAAGTTATTTAAATTATTATAAATTTATTAATTATTAAAAAATTATTTATTTATCATGTATTATTATTTAGAATTAATCAAGTTGGGATAAATATAATATTAATTCACAAATTTATAATTCAAATGTTACATTAAAAATTTTTAAAATTTAAATATTAGATTAAATAATTTATTTTAATTCAAAAATCATTTATAATATTAATTTTTTAATATAAATATGCATTTTTTGTGATATATAATGTTAATTTTATTTATTTAGGTTAGGTATGATTCCAACTTTTGCTTTTTTAATAAAAAATAAAAATAAAAAAAAAAAATACCAATCAAATGATTTTTTTTTTATAAAAAATAATTCTTAAGTTAAAAAAGCAGGATTATGAAAAGTTATTGTCTATGAACCGGGTTTAAACAATTTCAGGTTAACCCACTTGCTCATGGTGTAGATATTAGTTTTGTCCAGATTTATTGTTTTTATTTCAGTTTAATATTAATAATAATAATAATAATAATAATAATAATAATAAATATATTTTAAAAAAATAAATATAATAATAAAAAAGAGGAAAATGAGTAAAAAATCAGAGGGCTGGTACGGTGTCGCTGCTGCCCCTGTTAGCCCCCGACCAGCCCCTTATCCAACCTCTGTCCAGCCACCAAACCAGACAGCCATCCTACCACACCTATGACCACTATTTATCCCTCTATTTGAAGCTTTTTAAAACCCCCAACCTCTTCCCCTTCAACCTCTCTATCGGACACGAAGAGCTTACCCTTCATCACTGTCCAGCCTCCCTTTCAACAAGCTCAGTCCCCATACTAGCACTCCAATCCGAGCCTCAACCCTCACCAACCCATACCCAAACAGAAACACAAAAACAGAAACAAAAAACAAAGACAAACAATCCTTCTCGTAAGGAGGAACTTTAGCACCGAGCTCCCTGCAAAAACAAAAAAAAAACATATCAATTTTAGTCTAAAAAAAAAAAGTAGAAAACTTCAAGCCCCGATCTATAACGATAGGGGCTGTTTCTGACGAAAAGAGAGTCAGATCTGAAAAGAGGGCGTCGAGAGAAATTTCTGGTGACTTTTTAACCTTTTTCGGTCACCGACGATCATCGTCGGCAGTGACCCACACGGCGACCGACGCAGTGCACGGCACCAGATTTTAGGAAAATTAGAGAAAAACCTTAAAGCTCTGGATTTTTTTTTCCCTGCTCAATGGTGAAATGAACTAAGAAAAAAAATCTGATTTTTATAGAAAACATAGGGGCAAAATGACGTCGTTTTGAGCATAAGACCAAAACGACACTGTTTCAAGCGTAGAGGATCTGCACGTGGACCGAACCCGACTTGAGATCACGTAACCCGACCCGACGATCCGCTTCAGCCAGCCTTGAACCGGTTCAGACAAACCGTCAGTGAATCAGTCTGAACTGTTGGATTGCCTGAACCGTTGAACCGGTCAGATTGACCCAGACCAGTATTGACCGGACCGTTGATCGGTCCAGTTTAGGTAAAAAAAAATTTTTTTTAATTTTTTTTAATTTTTTATATATTATTATTTTTGTTATTTTAAATTTTTATATTTATACATGATAAATGTTTAAATTTATTAGGATAAATATCTAATTATTTTTAATAATAAAATGAAAACAATATAGGATAATAACTAAAAAAATATATTAAAAATGCTTAAATAATAATAATAATGGAATAATTTTTTTTTTATTTTTTCTGCCTAGATGGTGGAGAGAATTAAATCATGTTTTAAAAATAATAATTTCACCTAGATGTTGGGGAATTATTATTATAAAAATACTAAACAAGTTAATAATTTTGATAATAAGTTTTCATAAGAAATGATTAAAAAAAACATTTTAAAATAAGAAAATTTTATGTTTCTTAAATTAATTTTTAAAAAATTATAAAAATTGAACTTGCTCTGAAAGTTCACCTGGATGTTGGAGATTTTTAGAGATATTCGTGTTTTAATTAAACCCTAAACTTTCAAACCCTAAACTTAAACCTTAAACCTTTACCCTAAATCTATTTTAAAACTTTAAGGATACGTGTGAAAATTTCACATGAAATGGTTTGTTCCCGAATGCTGCCTAAAT